ACCCATTTTCTGGATCCAAACTCCAGAAGTGGGGCGTTGGTAGATGGCATGATAACCTTCACTTAACACAAAATAAGTGTCTAGACACAAAGAAAGTGCATAATGAGATGTCTCTTTCTAGAAGGGCCAAAGACAAAGCCAGTTCGGTGGTGTTTATTCAAGTAATTGCTTTAAATATACAGTTAACCATGTCCCAGCATCTACAAACCAGCATACCTGGTGGGCAAGTGAAGAAAAAGCAGTTGCATCTTAGGTTGAGTCTAAAGGAAGCTTGACAAACAGTTGTGGCTTTTTTTGCCCTTGAAGTTGACGATTTGTCTTAGTGGCAAGAGAAGAGAGCCCTGCTGTCCTAAACCAGCCATTGGGGAACAGCCTCAAAGGGAGCTGGGAGGACACATAAAAGGCACAGCTGCAAATCGGACAAGTTAAGGGTTCTAAATATTGCTATTTGCTGTTCTTTCTTGTTGCACAAATGCATTGCATTTCAGAGACTGTGATTCGCTGGGCCGCCAGGAGCATTGTGTGGGTATCGCCTGCCTGGGGGCAAAGTGTGAGTCCTGCTTTTCCCCAGGACAGGAAACTGATCTTCAGATCCTGACACTGTGCAGCAATAAAAGGGCACTGAAACGAGTTGAGGGTTTGCAGTAATACCAAGCCCAATACACTTATCCGACTTGCCTCCCTTTTTATCAGAATCAAAGATATTCCGAGTGGGATTAGTATGCCTGGGCCAATACAGCACCAAAACGTATGGATGCAGAAATTATTTTTTATGAGGATTGTGATTCAGATCCAATGGTGTCATTTGCATACTATTTTTCTGCAAAAGCTGGGCAGGGCATTTTGTATAGGAGACAGTGTTATGAAAGATGGGAAGTACAGAGGTAAGGCCTTTACCCCCATAAAGAAGCAGCTTGGCATTGGTTAACCACCAGCAGGAGTCCAGGCACTGATGTTAGGCACCTGACGCTGCTCCGCACCAGGCAGCCTTATAAATCAGTGGAGAGAGCCAAGGAGCTCGCTGCCCTCATGGAGCTTGCATTCATTCCGGCACCAGCGAGAGTCCTTCAGCTCTAGGGTCCAAGCTACTGGATTGTCAGTACAGCGGCCCTCCATTAACGGTGTTTTGTTATAATGTTGATGCGGTGCAGTGGGAACGTAGCTCTTGTGTGTATCAATTAGCCCATCCTATAAATTGGTTTTGTTATACGGTATGTCATTCCTCTTACAGCCGCAGAATCTATTGAGGATGTGAAGTGAGGACTTATTGCACACCAGGGAAGTTCATGGCAGCCTTGTCCAGAAGGAGATTAACAAATAAAGAGAGGAAGGAAGAGGGAGGGTGGAGGGGAGGACTGGAGGGGGAAGGAAAAAGTGCGGAAGGGGGGATTGAGGAGAAGAAGGAAGAAAGAGGAAGGACATGCTCATTAGTGATGATGACTAACCAGAGACGCGCAGGCCCCTGGGCCAGTCCTCGACTGGCAACAGGAGAGAGAGAGCTGAGCTGGTCCATCGGGGAGCCTCACACACTTTCTCCAGGAGGCTTTTGATCCAATGCATGAGCCATGGAACCACCTTATTTTACGTAAGGGCAGCTGGGCCCCCAGGAAAGCAATATTTACACCAGGAGCTGATGTGCCGTCTTCCCTGTGTTCCTCTAACAGAAGTAGAACCCCTCGCATCTGGCATGTGGAGAGAAGCCCAAAGACCCTTGTGTTAAGGCCCATCAGTACCTTCTCCTGCATCGGGAAGGCCATTTTCTCTCTGTGGGAAACGGGGTGCAGGTGGAACCCTGGCTCTACACTTTCAGCAGCCTGTGCCCCCCTCGCTCTGCTGCCCAGCTTCTGTTTCATGTTATCTCGAAACATCTAAATCCTGCAAGAATTACTGTAAAACCTGCTTGTCGCTGAGAGGGATCTTGCCTCGCTCGCTCGGCACTGCAGCCGGCGATAATGAATGGGTCAGCATAATTACCGTGTTTTCTCACACTGGCAGCCAGCTGCTCTGCCAGATTGTGAATCTTTCATTTTCTTTATTTCAAAATGCAGGGCGTTCCTATGAAAACTTAATGTTTGAACGGTGGGGAGGTGGAGTTGGAGTCAAAGCCATGCTCCCTCATTTTCTCCCCGGTCCTGAAGCAGACACCTCGTATCTCATTAGTTCTGGGCTTTTATGATATTAGGGTTTACCGCTTTCCCCGTTAAGACCAACACCTCTCTACAGTTATTTAAAACCAGCGCCAGGAGCCGTGGGTGCTAGGGGCTGGCAGGCTGAGAGTTAAGTACAGTGGCACGATTTGTTTTTAACAATAAAACAGGGTACAGCCCAGCGTGTGGCTCAGTGGTTGAACGTCGACCTATGAACTATGAGGTCACGTTTGGATTCCTAGTCAGGGCACATGCCCGGGTTGTGGTCTCCATCCCCAGTGTGGGGTGTGCAGGAGGCAGCCGATCAATGATTCTCTCTCATCATTGATGTTTCTATCTCTCCTCCTCCCCTTCTCTCTAAAATCAATTAAAAAATATATTTAAAAACAGTTACAAATAACTGGTATGGTCTCAGACACAAATAGAAAGATGGACTCATTCTAGCTTGGTGCAGCCATCCTAGCATTTTACTGTCCTCCTGAGAGAAAGATATGGTACAATCCAGGAAACAGGTCTGCTGCTCACCCTTCAGGAACACACAGAGAATTCCGAATGACAGCCAGTCAATCTTCATCTCAGGTTCAAGGATCAGAGTCCAATCCATGCAGGTCCATGAGGTGGTATGGAATTGGGAGTAACTTCTGTGGGAGCCCTCTCCTCTCCCTACCCCCTGCCACCCACCATGCAGCTACAAACTTACTGTCCGAGGGCGGGGAGCAATGGGATGAGATGGGGTGGAGCGCATGTACGATTAAGTGTGACAGTCGGAAGAGGAAAGCCCTGTTGGCAGTTTGGACATAGGGTAGAGACCACTTTAGCACAACAGGAAATACAACACCCCGGGAGCAGTTAGGTGTTTCATAAAATAGAGTTCCAGGAAGAGTGAAGTGTGGGTGTGTTGAGTTAAGGAATTAAAAGAGCTTCCTTCGCCAGGAGTCCTTTCCTGGAGTTGATGTCATGCCAAAAGGGACTCCATGTCCTTCCCGGCATGGCACGCCATCACACTGTGAAACCCCAGGGATATGGAGCAGGGATGGTGGGCTGTGGAAGGGAGGAAACCCATCACACCCTGGCTCATCTCACGTGACTTCCTCTCTCTGGAACTCCTCCGAGCTCCTGTTAGGTCAGCGGGATCAGAGGGGAAAATGGGCCAGGAGAGAGGGTTTGCTGGATGGTTGCCCATCCTTTGGCCTGACCACGGCTTCATTCATCTGGTCAGGTAGTGATGTCATCCACCCTCCTTCCGGTGCCCAGTATTTAGACCCTGCTGTGGATAAAATCGGGGGGCTCCTGTTGTTGACTTGGGGAGGCAGGAAGAGATGCAAAGATGAAAGGGCCGTGGAGGAAGGCCTGCAGGAGCATGCAGACTAATAGGAGAGAGAAGCATAGCAAGTGACTGACTTCCCTCTTCGCAAAAGCATTACATAGATAACGAATGTCCGGGAAAATGGAGTGTGGGTGCGGGGCTCACTGGGTTAATGTTTCCCTCACTGTAGGGCTTCCTGAGCCTCCGATATAGGTCTCCCGAGACAGGGGTTCCCCACATGTATTTTACCAGAAAAGCACCCTCTCTGTGCCTTGGGGTTTGGGCAGGAGTGCCTGCTGTTTAATGGGATGGGACAGCAGGCCTGGTGAGAGCTCCCGGGGAATTGGGGAAGTGGCAGGAGCTGGAAGGCAGCGCCGTTTCCTGGAGGCCTCCTGGGTTAGGATTTGCATGCTGTGGGAGGAAGGCCTCCCAGGCAACAGAATTAATTACCAGGGGTCTCAAGCATCACGCTTAATTTCCCTCTTGACTCCTCAGCAAGTTATCCTGCTCAGAGAATTCCCCCCCAGGGAAGAAAACCCTGCCCACACTCTCTTCTTAGGAGTTGAGTTTCCAGACTTCTCTGTCATTGCTGTTACTGTGTTTTATAAGCTGCACAAATGGTTAGGGGGCTGATGGGACGTTGGGAATGATTTGTTTCTATGTACACTCATGATGCATACACATGTCTGGAGGAGCACTGTATTTCAATTAACATTTTTTTAAAAAAGCAATATATGCACATAAAGGAAAATATGAGAAATAACTAAACATGGGATGGGGAAAACCTATGAACAGACAACTAAAACCCATACAGTTCATCCTCAGAGATAAGTGTGAACACATTGAAATGTATGTATTTGCAAATATTATTATATACACACTAATATGAATACACACATATAATATACATTCACATACACATATGCATGTACTCCTGAATATATACACACACATACATACTATGTTTGCACACAATGCATGTACATATTCACTTACCTATGCACAGATACATATCAATGCACATGCATACATACATGTATATTGTGTGCTCAGACACATATAAATATATATTACACACTAGACGTATATGTGTATATGTATATATGTTATGGATGGATGGATTGATAGATGGATGGGTGGAATGACCAATGGATGGATAATGTCGAGAACACATTGCATATACATATTGCAATCCACCTTAAAAAATTGTCTGTGCAATTAGCTTTAATCCTGTATTTAAGAATTGTTTGTCAATGTTTTCATTTGGCACATTGTCTTAGGCACTGTGACCACCGTCTTAACTAGCCCATCCTCTCTGGAATTGGCCCTTGGCCCTTGACCCCTGCCAGCTGCCACCTTTAGACCCCTGGCTCCTGGAAGTGTGTGTGTATGTGGGGGCGGGGGGAGGTGAGAGTGGGGAGAGGGGCGTGGGGCGGGCGGGGTTGTCCAGCCTTGGTCTGCAGAAAGGAAGGTCTGGATGGGAGGTTCCCGCAATGGTTGGTGTGGATCTAAAAGCCTTTGCTTTGCTCTCTCCTCTCGCCCTGCAGTGCCCGGCTTTCCGTATCCAGCCGCCACCGCTGCGGCCGCCTACCGAGGGGCGCACCTGCGAGGCCGTGGCCGCACCGTGTACAACACCTTTCGGGCCGCGGCGCCCCCGCCCCCCATCCCTGCCTACGGAGGGTAAGTGGGCTGCCTCCGGGGCGGGCCTCCCTGCACCGCCCCTCCTGTTTGCGCATGCTGGTCTTGACCGCCCCACCAGAACGCCCAGCATGCGGCCCGGCGCCTGCAGTGGAGCACCTTGCAAAGAGTATTGAAAAATGAGTGTAATTTGTCCTGTCATGGTTGGTGCCTTTAAGCATCCTACATGTCACATGTTGTTATGTAAATTCTCTTTGAGACTGAATGCTGGAGAACAGAGAAATGGTTACAGCCAGAGATGTATTTCTGATGATTGCAAACATCTGGTTATTAAGGAGGTTGGATCACATTGGCCCCTTGAATCTGTCCATGGAGGGACATGAGGCTTTTCACACGTAAAAATCACTGGCGTGGTCTTACTCCCCTCCCCTAAGATACCTTGGGCTTCAAGGTTTAGGAGCCCTTGCTGGGAAGAGAAAATTAGGTGTGGAGTCAATGCAAACATTCACAAGTTCAATGAAATTGGAATTAAGACTCGTTTTAGCTGGATTTTCCAAAATGGCATTTGTCTTTGTTTCCCCTCTGCAAGGAAATGCAAGTTCATGTGACCCCCATTGCCAGTTGGGTATTCCTGTCATGGACTTTGGTATCACCAAGAGACTATCCAGGAATGGTGGTGAATGCTCAGGGAAAAATTGGTACTGGTGTGGCAGGCTTCGACCTTGCGACGCTTTCCTTTTACCTTCCTGTTAAGGGATCCTCCTGGAACATTCTTGCACACTCAGAACTGGGGAGAGAGGGATGTCTCTGAGGCAGTGATCCTGAGGGGACATTTGTAATATCTGGAGACGTTCTTTGGTTGTCACAGCAGGAGCTGGGAGATGCAATGGCACCCAGTGGGCGGAGGCCAGGGATGCAGTAAACATCTTACAGTGCACAGAGTGGTCCCTCTCCCCATACAGAGAGTGATGGGGTCCTAACTACCAATCATGCTGCTCTAAGGAAAACTCAGGTATGCCCAGGACAGCCTGGCAGGAGGCTTCCCTGGCCGGTGCCTGGCTTTCTTGTCTATAGAAAGAATATGGCTGTATTCAGGACTCTGTGAAAAGGGTTGAACACATTTTTTTATAGCTCTGTTGCTTAGAAATCTTTTAGAAAATTTGAATCAGCCCAGATCATCTATTATACTGACTGAAATATTTATTCATATCTCACCTACTCCAAAGGACAGCATTTGAAGTGTTTTGGAAACAAATGCAGTGAGACAAAGCTAAGACAATAGAGAAATGAAAGCAGATGAAATTGTCAGGAAGAGGGGGGTAAAGGCAGAGAAATAAGACAAAGTCCATTGTTTCTGGTGTTGTCATTAGAGGTAGGCCAATTCCAAGTTTCTTAGTAGATGAAACACCACCAAAAAAAGAAAAAGAAAAAGAATTGCTGAAAATATGGTGAATAATAAACCAAGGATGAATTGGCCCTAAATTCTCCCCACCCTCCAATATAATGTATCTTCATGTCCTAAGCCTCATGCATTTGACCATGTGATATAAGGCATTACTGACAGTATAATCATTATCTTCAGCCCCCACAGTATTAAGCCTATTTTGTAGATCCAGAAAGGCAGAAGTAAAAACTTGTTATTCCCAAGGTCATATAATGAGTTATGAAGAAAAAACAAAACAAAACACGTTACCCGCTAGGCTCATGTGATTACTAAAGCAAGATTCATAAGCCATAAATACAAAATTGCATGTTTATACCCCATTAGTTTGCCTGGAAAACATTATCTTGGTAGCTGGTAATTGTAGCTTTCCGGTATATGTACCCTCAGTATCTCACTACTATATTGAACAGAAAAAAATAAAGTAAAATTATATGGCTTATCCTCACATGAACAATTTATAAAAGTCTCAGAATAACACACCTGCTGTAAAATTGAAATTTGCTAACTTATAATGAACTTGCTCTTTGTGGGGAATAACCATGCATAGCTAATTAATGCCATGTTCGCCAGGGAGAGACACAGGCATCTCCAAATGGTGAAGCAATGTGTTTGTGACTGCTTTGGACATGATTTAATTTTAATATCCCAGTGATAGCTCTAATTATTTTGTTTATAATGGTGGATTGTGCCTCTTTGCTGACAATGTTGACTGGAATTCTGAACCCATGTTTAATAGTAAGGTAAAATTCTTAAGATGGGAGGGATAGAAAGAGCAGAAGGGCTAGGTTTGTGTGTGTGTGTGTCCACGCCTGCAACTTCCATAAGAGCAAAGTGCTGGTGTAAAAGGAGGACATTCAGCCAGTTGCCTGGTGCTTTGCTGGATTACAAATTGGCTGGACAAATTAGCTCTGAATGCAAAGGCATGAACCCAGCATCTTAAATGGTGGCTTCCCTTTTCCTCTGGCTTGTTTGGCTTAAGCTACAGAAGACGTCAGAGGGCAGCTCACCTTAGAGAGAAGAGCAGAGATTGGCTGGAGGAGAGAGGGCCCTGATCTTGGGTTGAGTGGCAAAGAGGTTGGAAACCCACTACCGTTTCAGGAAGTGACATCGTCGGGATTCGGGTGGTCCAGGAGATAGTGTGGATCTCCTGTAGCGGTTTGCCTCCTTTGGAGGATGAATTCTAGATTTGACTGATGTCTTTGCTAATGTCCAGTTTAGCTCAACACTCCTTTTCTCAGCTGCATGCACTGCCTTGCACTGAGGCCACTGAGGCAAATGGCTCCCTTGGAGGAATTTCTTCCGGTAGGGGGCAAAGGGTGCCATGTAAGCGAACAATTTCAGTAAATGTGATAAGTAGTAAGGTAGGGTGTTGTGTGAGCACCAAGGAAGGACGTGGACGTTTAGAGAAGCTTCTAAACACCCAAGTGCTAGGAAGAGAAGAGATAGAGGTCACATTTATGGCCAATCATTCCCTAAATGTCCACGTTAAGGTCTCAGTCTGTGATTCTCCCTCACACCCAGTGACCCCCATCTTTCCTAAGACGTTGGCTAGCAAACTGCATTTATTAAAAAAGAAATTATTTCCCCCTTATCACTAGTTGAAGACTGCCAACCTAAACTCTGTTCTTCATCAGGTATCCAATATGCATATACTTTGTTATTAAAATTCCAACCAAAAATGTGTCATTTATCCAACATCCATGTACAGTTTCCATATTGTTTTATCCACGAGATATAAAACGGTCCCACACAACCTGCATGGCAGCTTTTGTGGAGCCACTGGTGAGCCTTGGAGTAGCCAACACCAAGATAGGCATCCAGGAGGGCACACCAAGGAGCCATCCATTTCCTTTTGTTGATTTGGTTCCCCCTCTGCATCCTGACACTTTCTGAAGTCCCTCTCAGCAAGCGAGGAACACAGGTTATGGAGGGGCCCTGTTCCTCTTTCTTACATACCTAAATAGAAACATCTTGGGACATTAAAACATGACCAGCCCCTTCAGGGTCTGGGGCTACAGAGGCTCTACTTGGACCATGAAAGGATCCTAAAAATGAACACAAAATCCTAGACTGAGACAACCAGCCCCCTAGGGATTACCAGAATCCACTGAATGAGGATGAGTGATGAGTTAGAAATCTAGTGTTTACACAGTCTATAACAGTGGTCGGCAAACTGCGGCCCCTTGAGTGTAGCTCTTCCACAAAATACCACGTGCGGGCGTGCACATACAGTGCAATTGAAACTTCATGGCCACACTCAAGACGCCAAAGAGCCACATGTGGCTCACGAGCTGCAGCTTGCCGACCACTGACCTATAAGATTGTTACAGTATTAAAAAATGCTTCTGGGGAAGATGAGATTACCCCCACCACCACCACCACAACCATTCTACTTCATACTACCCTGGGTAGCTGACTTAACCTATATAAGTGAATTGCCTTAACAGGAGAGTGAAGATTGTGTCTGCCTCCATTGAGTTGATAGGGGATGGGAGAGATCCATGTAAGGCTGTAACAGTAGGGAGGGTCCATCATATGATTCGAGTTCAGTGACCTATAGCTAATGTTATTGAGGGTGATGCAGTTACTGCTCCTTTGTCCCTCTCTGTGTTGCACCACTTACTCCTTGCTGGGAGGCGCCTGCAGTTCAGATTGGCATTCCCCACAAGCCACAGAGATGGCTTTGATTTGCACAGCTCACTTCAATAGTTTGTGGAATATGTAGATTGTACATAAAATATTAACTAGTGAATAGTCTCCACAAGAGCTGAATCAAGCAAGTTTTCCATATTTCCCTTTGCATTTGATCCTGGGGTTAATTTTGCTAGAGAAGCCCTAATGTCAGTCTGTCTTCCTGTGACTTTTAGCTGGGAGAAATTACCCTTTGGGTAATTAGCATCAGTGGAGCTTGCAGACTGATGGTTTGTGGATGAAGATGGAAGGTAACCCCCAGACTCAGTACTTTCTCTGATGTTAAATGACAGCAACTAAACCCCATTCACTCCCAAAGGGATCTCATGAGATGGGCTTCACCCCTTCCTGTTCTTAAGTAGTTAAGTAATTACAAACCACCTACTTATGAAGCACCTACTGTGTACCATGCATATTGTATGGGGCTAAAGAAGAGTGCTCTAATGGAGTCTCATGGGAGATTTTTAAAATTATTCCAGTCCAAGCATCGGCGTCTGCTATAGGGTTTTGGCAGTGGTTGGTTGGATATCTGTGCGTGTAATATTCTGCACTTTCTCAGATAATTAATTATGACACATTTATGTGCAACTTCTCAGAGTTAGCTTAAGAAGTATTTTGAGGAGACTCAGTGCTACTCTGGGAATAGGACAGATACGGTAGTATCCCAGGAGAGCACTTCTGAAAGGTAGCTAGTGCAAGAATCAACCCATATATACGTTTTTTGAGAATGCTTTCGGATCCTAGAATTTAGGTCCTAAAACCTTGGATAACCAGCCTCTAGGACTGTGTATGCACATTTCTGTCTGTAAATCAACCATGCTTTTTGGTTTTCATTTTTAAATGTCTGCTCCTCAGACTATAGTAACTGCTACTTAGGCTCTTTCCAATTTAATATAAACACTAGAAC